GGGTGTCAAACAGTTACTGTAAAACTGCTAACAAGCTGGCAAGCTAACAGCCATCAACACTTACAAAGTACGGGAAAATGAACGAAACTGGCAATGAAATAGCTTCTACCGACACCAAGAAGAGAGACAGGCCGAGGGGTCGGTTATACGGCCAATCTAACCCAGATCTGACGCTGGAGTGCCGGATGAGACAATGCATTTCAGAAGAAGTGATGAATGCCATGGCTAACCTAACCCATGAAAAGAAGCACTCGCTCTACCTGGATATTTTCAAGCCTCTTGATTTCTACGAGCTGTTGTTCGAGAAATGCTTCAAGAAAACCCCATAATGCCAGCCAGAAACAGAAAGGTCGCCTCAAGTCCTCTAATAAACGGTACAGTCGCGTTATACACCTGAAGATAAATAAACCCGAGACATTTCATGCACGCTTACAGCAAGAAACTTCATTTTGGACCAAACTCAATTTCCACTTTTCTTTTAAAAATACAAAAGGTTTAATTAGCAGGAGGAAGAAAACGCTCTTCGCTTCCTTTCAACACCAAACAAACCTGGTGCTAGTGAGAAAATTCAATTACACCCTCCTTTTCATGAAATTTTATGTGTATGGAAGTAGACTAAACAACAATTCACTTGTTTTAACCGAATATATTACTAGAATCAAGAAAATTTGGTAAGTTAATACCTATAAACTACTCGTAACGCGACTATGCTCCTCACCAACTTTACTGATTAAGTTACTTTTAATTGTGTTAAATCAAGATTAGAAATCGTTCCTTTTTTCCCCTTCCCCGCGCTATAAGTTATTTGTTTGCTTCCTTATTTATTTTTGTATATATTTACTGCATTTCTTTTTCCTTTTTTCCCTGTTTGATCGCGACGAGTGTTGTCAAAATTAACAATTTTTTTTTTTCTTTTCATTCGTTTCCCTATTGTAAGTAAGTAGCACCTGGTGTAAATAAGAAATATAGCTTGGATGTAGTAATGGCACACCACTTTGTTATCATAATTTGTAATTTGTGATACGTGTCATTCGGTGAAGGTGTGTTACTTTAAATAAAAAAGGGAAGAAAACTTCAAGGTGGCACCTCATTTTTTTATTTCAAAGCGATCGTTGCCTGGTAAACAAATCGTTTGTTTGTACTTTCATCTCGTATTTAATTGGTAACTACCAAATGAAATGTCACAATGATATCAAAACATACATGGCTTTCTAAATTTTACCCTTAAGCAAAACAGAACAATTTGCTTCATAGAAGGGGGAAAGAACTCACGAGGCCACTGTTGGCAAGTTTAATCACTCGCAAATGCGTTCTGTAATTCTGAATACTCACGGAATCAAACCCACCTTAAATTTCTCCAAAATCTTTCCTGCATTGTACCCTAACCTAAGTCTATGAGCTCGAGATAGTATAAGTTCCAAAACTGTTAATTCAAATGCGAATGACTTGACTCTTACGAGACTTTTCTTCTATTAGGGGCTAACTCGAAAACCTTGCGGTTCCTTTAGCCTGTAGGCTCCTTCCAATAATTACGTTCCTTTTTATTTTGTTTAGTCAAAATCTAAATATCAAATACTTCCCATGTAATTCATGTTAGAGAGCCAATTTAAATAACAATATATGTGCACTCATTGGTTCGGCTGTTTCAAGATTTGTTGTTTCTCAAACATCGGATAAT